GGGTCTCCCATGGCAGCTCTATGTGCTTCCTGGGCCTGATCCTGTGCTGGCTCCAGAGGGTAGCAGCGGGAGGAGAGACAGAAACCAGACCATCTAAGTGCCAGACCTTGGAAAGTCTTCCTATCATCCTGGACTAAGGGGGAAGGCAAAGGGGTTCAGGTAGGAGCTGCTCAGAAACATGGTACCCTTGAACTTGACCTTGAGAGAAGCCCGCCTAAGTCTCCTGGGAGAATCTTCAGTGGGGTGTGGGGAGCCAGAACTGATGAGATCAGTACCAGGTCCCTGAAGGGCAGAGACCCTACAGAAGAGGAGTCTGTATGACCCAGCAAACAGGCATTGTGGGCTCTCAGTGGACCCAGAAGACAAGCTTATCGGGAGATGGAAACTGGAAAGCCCAAGGCAGGGGGAAGGAAGAAAGAAAAGGGCAGAAGGAAAAGCAGAAAATGTGGAGAAAGTGAAAGAGGAGAGAAAAGTCTGAGAGTAAAAAAAGGAATAGGGAGGAAAGTACCACAAAACACATCCCAGAGGTGATAAACCCACAAACAGTGATTCCTGCCTTCCCAGGCCCTCAGGAGAAGCCTCCCTCCCACCCCATCCCCGCCCCCATCCTGCCCCCACTTCCCAGCCCAGCCCTGCCCGCAGACAGCCAGTGCTCACCCTCAGATGCCTGCTGGGTCCTGAGCCTGAGGACTCCCACAGCTCCGGCCAGGAAGGCCCAGTGTGTACTCAAGTGTGCTGTGTCTGCCCGGACAGCCAGTGTCCAACCTGGGCTGGTCTCGCAGACAGCCTGGCCCCTAATCCCTGGGTGTGTCTGAGGCCGTGTCTGAGTCCAGGTGTGGCGCTGTGTGCTTACGATTGTGTCTCCGAGGGTCTGTGATCACTTGTCTGAGTGTGTGTCTCTATGTATAACCGCAGATCTGTCAGGGAGTAGTGAGTGAGTGAATGTGTATGTGTCTGCATCCAGCTCTGGCCTCCCCTGGCTTCCTGCTCTCCACCTCCCCCACCCCCTGCAGCCCTGGCCAACATATACTTCCTGAAAACAACAGTGACTGAGAAAGAGAGAAAAGTCACCCAGAATCCCCTGGGGCAGACACTTCCTCTCCGCCCCTAGGCCGTCCCCCCAACCCCAAACTGGAACTGGACAAGCCACCCCCGTGCCTTCTAGCAGGGACTTACAGAGTGGACGCCCAGGAAGCCCTGGTCCTAGCTGAGAAAGAGGAAACTCAGAGAGGCTGGAAAAGAAGCTCTTTGAAAGGAGCAAGTTCTGTCCTAGCAACAAGTGATCAGCCTCCAGGACGACCAGGGATTGGATGGGCTGCAGGGCAGTCAAGGGCACAGGTAGGAAGCCTTGCAGTGTGACTCCAGCTAACAGCTGCCTCCTCTTGATAAATACTCTATCATCATGAGGTATCTCCAGGCATCCAAGCACCAGAGGAAAAAAACAGACCCAGATCAGTCCAGGAGAGGCTCTGTGGAGTGACCCTGGAACCCTGGATCAGAAATGACCTGTCTGCCACTCTCAGGGAAGCAGGTTCAGAAGGTTCACATATACGAGGCTTAGAGCTAGGTAGACTGGGCCCCAGGCCAAGAGCAGGGTCTGAACCTCAGCTTCCCTCTGTTGGGCTATGTGACTCTAAGCAAATTTCTTGGCATCTCTGGAACTCGTCAGCAAGTTCCCTATCACAGGATTAAATAAGGGTGGGGGTACAGACCATTTGAGAGTGAACTAGAGTCCTCCTAGGCCAGGCAGAATGGTGAGCCTAGTTCTGAGAGTCCTGACTCAGCTAGGGCAGGGAGGAAGGGACCCTATTCTGCTCAATTTCTGCCTGCCTCCTCTGAAGGCCTTTCTCTTTCCAAGATGTCTAGGGTGACACCCTTTAACCCTATTGTTCAGTGTCCTGTGGGCACTGAGGGCACTCACTGCTGCTGAATCAGCATAGGCAACACATGTGCTCAGCACCTGCAGTACAGAAGCTCATGCAGGCTTCATCTGTTCACTCACACAACACACTTTCTCAGTGCCTATAAGGCACCTGGCACTGTTCCAAATGGTGAGGATTCAGCAGTAAAGAAAATCAATAAGGATCTTGGCCCTAATGGAGCTGATGTTACAATGGAGTCCTCTTGGCATCACCTGCACACACACATACACATATTGGCTCATACCTGATGCTACATAAATACTACACACACTAAATCACCGCCCATTGCATGGATACTCAAAAATGGACTTGTACTCCAATATACCAACACACATGGGCACAGGGGCCCAGTGAACTTACACACATACCACAGTAAGCCACCACTGAAATGGCATAAATCCCCAGACACATTTACATATTAGGATCACACATCACCTCCCTTAGAACCCGGGCAGATGTGTAAATACAAACACACTATTACCTCGGCAGCTTGCACAAACTGTCCAGGCATGCCCTCACATGGAGTCACTACTTCAAGAATACACACATGAGCACACAGCAGATAACCCTAAATTCCACTGGGGAGCCTGGTGATAGGGTGGGGCCAGGCAGAAATGCTCACTCAGCCACCACAGATCTGGCATAAGAGGCCTAAGATTGAGAGAGTGAGATCCCCATCACCAGAGGGTGCAAGTAAGAAAAGAAAGGCCATTTCAGGAAGCGGGGACTCCTGCAAGGGGGGCAAGAGCAGGCCAGGTTGAGCAGTCTCCCACTGTGCACCATGAAGTCTGGGGTCATAGGAAGGGGCTGTGAGGGGATAGGTAGCCAGTCAGGCTCTATCCTGGCCCTGACCCTGCCCAGCCTTTGTGTGGTACATGTACATGAGACATGTAAGTTTTGCTGCAAGTTTTTCTACCACTGGGCTTAAAATACTTGGTACATCCCGGGAGCCCACAGCACTAGGACCATAGATGCCCACAATTCTGAATGTCAAAGGCCCCAGGACACAGGAAGTCAGGCTTGGCAGCTCACCTCTCACCATATTCTGCCTCAATGAATAGTCCAAATTGTGAGAAATAATTGTCTACAAATTCTCCCAGCATGGAATGAATTTTGGGTCCTCTAGCTACAAAAGGCCAGATTCCTCACCATGGGAGCCTGGCCTCCCCCAGAGCTTGGCTAAGTAGCTAAGTTCAGACAGAAGCTCTAAGAGTGGGGGCTTCTACCCTGAGGAGTGGACAGGACCTTTGTTATACCCAACAAGTCTCCTGAACTCAAATGTCAGTACCAGGAGGGCCGTGAAGGGTCAAGGAGGGCACCTGATGGGGAGAAGGCCCAGAAGGGCAACTCATAATGGGAGGCACACAGCTAGCTGGGCCTACCCCAGGTATCCTGCCTCCGAAGCAGGAATCCAGACTCCTACTCTCCCACTGGGGGGTTTGCCTCCTAAGCCTTTGTGAGCTCCCTGTGAACAGGGCCCTACCTCCTGCTCTTGTTAACGCATTCCCACCCACCAGAGACAGGCAGGCAGGGAGACAGGCAGGCAGACAGAAAGAAAATAGAAATTACTCCTGCACAGAAGAAAATACTCACTAGAGGGCGCAATGGCACCAGAAAATTCCAACATAGTCCGCAAGCCAGGCTTCTTGGGGACTTTAGTATTTATTGTTTGTTCCCAGTTGTGTGAATCCAGGAAAGGCACAAACTCTTTTTGTTCTTCTACCAATCAGATCTCAAAACACCACAGCCCTGGCTTGCCTTCAAGGCCCCTTACTTAATGTCCCTCTTTGGATGGGGAAAACCTCCCAGACCCTCCCCACAGGGGATCCTTAAGCATGTACTCGGCATGGATCCAGCCAATGCTCCCTTTCCTTCTCTGAGCTTCAGTTTCTGTGCTTGAAAATGGGACATAAATCTCCCAGAAGACTTGCTGTAAGGATCAAATTAGATCATGTAAGCAAAGAACTCAGCACAGTGCCCCAAAATAGGGACCAGGAGACATCTCTCTGCACATCCCGTCCTCCTCCAAGAAGCCGTCTCAGATTAGGCTGACTAGGTCTGAGTGCTGCAATAAATCTCCATTACACCCCTGAACATATATTCACTCCCAGCTTGGGATGCTCCCTCTCAACTGGCCACCATAGCAAGGGGAGGAAGGGAGGATACACATGAAGGAGGTTAAAATGGAACAACCACAGAAGTAGAAGGAAACTTAAGAAAACAAGGAGTACCAGAAACCAGGAGGGGAGAAAACAGTTCTGAGAGAGGGCAAGTAGAATGAGTCCTGAGAAGCATCCCTAGGATTTGGTGACATGTGGCAGGAGCAGTGTAAAGAGGGAAGACAAAACACAAGCACCAAGTCCTGGGCAGTCCCTACTCCCCCATAGCAAGATCATCCAAGGCGCCCTTGTTTCCTCCACATGCTACCTCCCAACTCCAGAACGTACCCCAATGCCCCACAGTATCTCACACTTGCAAGGCCCCAACCTGAACTCCAGACTTTGCCCCACACTCATTTCTGTTCCTGTATCCCCTATCTCCAGACCAGTGATAGCACTACTGTCCACCCAAGACGATAACCTGGACACTGTTGTGGCTCCCCATCCCCTATCCACTCACGCCCAGGCTGTCCCCAAGTCCTGTCTAGTCGAGAAACATCTTGCTCTAATCTGCCTATTTCTCTCACACAGCCTGAGTGGGGGCCTCTCACCTGGCCCTGTGCCTTCTCACTGGTCTTTTAGCATCCTCCCCCATTAGCCTCGTCAGCAGCCAGAGTCATCTTTTTAGTACTCAGCTTTCATCAGACCATTCTACTTAAAATCCTCCTGGCTGCCCACCAGGCCTTTACAGTACATCCCACCAGCACCATCCACAAGCCTCACCCTCACTCGCCCAACAGTTCAGCCACATCGTCTGCCCAGAGTGACCCGCAAGGTGCTTCCTGCCTCTGAGCTTTGCACATGCTGTTCCCTCCACTCAGCTGCCTTTCCTACTCCAGTGCCAAAGGCCACAAACTCCCCCTCCACTCTTTAGGGTCCTCTACCCATGTACCTCCCACCCTGTACAGCAGCCACTCACCTCACCAGCAAACGGGGGGGCCCAGTGCGAGGGGGCACAGGTGGAACACTTAGCTCTGCCAAATGCCGCTTAGCAGGCAGTGGGGGCAGCACAGCGTCTGAGGCAGCCGTGGACAAGGTGAAGAAGCAGGCAGGTGGAAGGCAGCTCCTCCGGGGTGGGATGGGTGGGGCAGTGGGTAACCCCTCATCCTCTCTAGCCACGGGCAGTGGCTCAGGTGGAGTGGTGGGCACAGGCGGTGAGCGGAAGACATGACGCTTCATGGGCACGGGCCGTGGGGTGGGGCGGGGTGCGGGGGCCGGGGGCGCATGGGCACGAAGCAGGCCAGCCAGGATGCGGCGTCGGTGGCCAGGGAGTAGCACGCCCATGTCCACCAGGCGGGCATCGCTGAGGCCTTGGCACTCTGTGGCCCGGACCAGTCCATGCTGCTCAAAGAGCCCGGTGTACTGCTCCAGGTGCAATGCCTGAAGCCACTCGGCCACCGACAGTGCTATATCCCCGGCCTCTGCCATGGTTCCTGACAGCAGAGGCCAGCCAGCAGGGCTCTGTCCAGATCTGGAATAGACAGATGGGCACAGGTCAGAGGAATAGCTGCCCAGATTTAGTTCCCTGATCGGCATTCTTATGTGGCTCTCCTATACCATGGGGTCAAGCTCTGTCCTTGAGCTTTTTCCCCTGTGCCGCATGTGCAAGTACTGCCAGGTCTCTGAACACACAGGCTTTTCCCTCACCCTGAATTCAGCCACCCCTTCCCCCACCCTAATCCCTGTGGCCACTTAGCATCCAGCTCATGTTTCCTCTAAGAGGCCCTCTAGGACCTCCAGAGTTGGTACCACCACCCGCCCTCATCCACAGTCCTGGCCACTGCTGCAAGGCTGGCCATTAGCTGTGTCTGGCACACACCCTACTGCCTTCTGTAAGACCCAGGCAAGGCCCCAATTTCTTCTGAGTCACCAGTTCCCAGCTGAGGGCCAGGCCCAGGGTCTTAGCGAACATGAGTGCGATTGAGGGTACTGATACCACTGCTGGTCCCCCAGCAGGCCCAGTATAGGGACTGAGCCTCACCCCATCTCCATGCCCCTGGAGGAAGTGGAATGCTCCAGGAGGTGAGTCAACTAAGCATCACACAGCCTCTGGGGTTCTGGTCCTGTGCATAACCCCTCCCACCACCAAGAGGGAAAGGGAGTAATATATAGGAAAGGCCATTCATTCATTTGTTCATCAAAATAGCCTTGCACTAGGCAGTGGGGACTCAGGTCCCATCCCTACACTCAAGAGCTCCTGGTCTGACAAGAATCCAGAAATAAATGACGCAAAGAAAAGGTGATAAATAGATCAAAAGGAAAAAGTCATATGACCATCTCCACAAATACTAAAGAGGCATACGATAAAACTCAATATCCAGTATACTTAAACAAATAAAAATCTTACTAAAATAGAAATATATTGAGCCTTCCTTAAACCAAAAGCTAAAAACTTGTTTAATGGGAAAACAACAGAAAAACTTCCACTAAAGTCAGGAATGAGACAAGGATATTCATTTCATTATCTTCATTATCATCATCATCATCATCATCATCATCATCATCATTATTCACAGTGCTCTGAAAGTTCTAGAGAGCAAAAATAAACAAGAAGTGTAAAAATTAGGAAGGAAGAGATAATCTATTAGTCACCAATAAAACGAATTTTGAGTTGGAAAATCTAAGACGCTCAACTGGGAAACTATTACAAACAATAAAAGATTTTAGTAAGATAGTTGGGTTCAAAATTAATATAACAGAAATCAATACTTATAAGCAATAACCAGGTAGAAACCAAGATGAAAGACCCCATTTACAATAGCATCACAAAATATAAAACACCAAGAATAAACTTAATAAAAAATGTATAAGATCTATAAGAAGAAAAGTTTGGAGTGTTACTGAGGGACAAAAAGAAGACTTGGACAAACTGAAAGACACAGTATACTCCTGGATAGAAGACAGTATAAAGATATTAATTCTCTCTAATTTATAAATATGCACAATCCTCTTAAGTACACATACGAAATTTTTTTTGAGCTAGACAAGCTCATGTTTAAAGTTCATGTGGAAAAATAAACAAGTAGGAAGATCCAGGAAAATTCTGGAAGCAGGGGGTGAGGGAAAGGAAGGGTAAAGAGTGAGAATCAGTCTCACCACATATTAAAACATACAAAGCCATGGTAATTAAAACAGTACAGTCAGCCTTCTGTATTTCTGATCAAGCTGGGAGTCCACATATGCAGACATTCAACTGTATGCATTGATCTACACCATTTTAAATAAGATACTTGAGCATCCACAGATTTTGACATCCGAGGGAGGTTCTAGAACCCATACCCCATGACTGTACATGTTACTAGAATCTGAACAAACAGATCCATTAAATAGAACAGAAAATACAAAAATAGACCCAAATACATATAAGAATTTAGTATACAATCAAAGGAACTCAAACAAGATGGATTATTAAGTTTCTGAGACATCTGTGGAGCAATCTAGAAACAAACTCAGTTGGACCTCTACCTTACACCTTACGACAGGCTAAATTACAGATAAAGCAATGATTTCATTATAAAAAAATAGAACCACAAAAGGATTTTTAAAATCATCTCAGAGAGCAAAAGCCTTTTAGAAATGATACAGACCTAGAAGAATAAAGAAGTAAAATATTCAACTATATAAAAATCAAACATTCCTGCATGATAAAAAACACCATAAGCAAAAGCCAAGAGATAAATGACAAAGTAGGGGATATCTGCAACTCATATCCCAAACACAGAGCTAATTTTCTTAAAAATTGAAAAGCACCTAAAAATAAGAAACAGATGAATAACCTAACAGAAAAATAGGCAAAGGATGTGAACAAAGAAATTCACAGAAGGGAAAAATAAATGGTTCTTAAACAGATGAAAAGGAACTAAACCTCCCCACACTAACTGGTGATATGGTAAGGCATTCCCCTCCCTGGCAGATGAGAGTGGCTCTGGGAAGGGCAAGGCCACAATAGCTGTGAAAACTCTAAGTCAGGCTGCCCTTTGATCCAGCCACCCTCAGATACTTACCCTGCAGTCTTATTGGTACATGTTAAAAATGACAGATATAGACGGTTATGGCTATAGCACTGTGTATAAGAACAAAAGGTCAGAAAATACTAAAACATCCATAAACCTGAGAATAGTTAGCTAAATTATAGTGTAGTCATACAGTAGAATACTGAACAGCTATACAAAATGAGGAAACTCGTAACATTGATAAGAGACCTCTAAGATACTGTTAAATAACTAAAGAAAGGTACAGAACTTTATACATAACATTCTGCCTTTTATGTGGGGGGCGGGGAGGAACAAAGGAAGAGAACAGATCTTCATGCAACTACTGGTAAACGCATAAAATATCTCTGAAAAAGATACATAGGAGACAAGGTAACGCTGGTTGCCTCTGAGGAGGAAAAATTAGGGCTGATCATGTATGCAGGGCTCCCATATATACACATGTATTAAATTTGGTTATTTTCTCTTGCTAAAAAAAGAAAAATGAGGGCCAAGAGGACAGGAGAGAGCAGATGCAAAGCCAGGGCCTGAAGTTTACACAATTCGGATGCCTTTAAGAAAAAGAATACAAAGTTTGCCAACTATAATTTTTTTTAAAATCTCACTGAACTGTACAATGTAAATATGAGCAACTAAATGCCTATTATATTTCAATAAAGCTATAAAAAAGAAAAAGAATACAAGAATATCTTAATTTCACAATAAACACAAATACTGAATCATTAGATTATATACCTGAAACAAATATGTTATATGTCAATTACTTCTCAGTTAAAATTTTTCTTAATTAAAAAAGAATTATCTTACTTTTATAAAATTTTACACAAAACATATGACCATAGGCACACACTGCCTGGGCCTGTCCCTACACCCTGAAAGAAGCCTGAAGATCAAGTTCCATCGGCTCCCTGTAAACCCCTCTGGCTGGTGGGGAGACTTTTCACTCCATATCTTTTTCTATCACCTAAATTTTGAACTACGTGATATGTGAAGTTTTTTTTTTTAATTTTTTTTTATGGTGACTTTAGTTAACGAAATCCAGTAAGTTTCAGCTATACACTTTAACAATAAGGCATATATACATACATACATATATATTTATATATATTTACACTGTGTTCACCTCCCATAGTTACATTTCTGTCTGTCAGCACATATTTGACCCCGTCTATCTCACCCCTCCCCCTCCCCTCTGTTACCCACTAGTCTATAGTCCATGTCCATGAGTCTCTGTTTGTCTGTCCTGCTCATTTGTTGCTTTTAGGTTTGTATCCCACATATAAGTGATATCATGTGATATATATATATACATACACTTATACTGTGTTCACCTCCCATGATATGTGAATATATTTTAAAGGCTCCTGAAAGACCCAAAGGAAGACACAAACAAACAAATACATTTGATGTCTTGGAAAAGCCAACTCTCAACATTATAAAGACATCAGTTCTTTCAGTGTTAAGCTATAACTAGCACAACCCCAACTAAAATTATCCAGTGAAAGAGTCTATAATTCATATTAAATGATATTAAAGCTTTATTAATTGGAAAAGCAAGGTGCAGAATAGTGTTTTATGAGGTAAATATCTGGGTTAAACAAAAAAAATGTATATGAAAAGATGTTCAACATCGCTAGTAATCAGGGAAATGAAAATCAAAACTGTAACAAGATATCACCTCAAACCAGTTAGAATGGCTATTATCAAAAAGACAAGAAATAACAAGTGTTGGAGAGGATGTAGAGAAAAGAGAACCCTTGTGCACTGTTGGTTGGAATGATGAGTGCAGCCACTATGGAAAACGGTATGGCGGTTCCTCAAAAAATTAAGAATAGAATTACCATAAGATCCAGCAATTCCTCTTCTCGATATTTACCCTAAAAATACAAAAACACTTATTTGTAAAGATATATGTACCTCTATGTTCATTGCAGCATTATTTACAATAGCCAAAACATGGAAATAACCTAAATATCCATCAACAGATGAATGGATAAAGATGTACACACACACACACACACACACACACACACACGCGCGCGCGCGCGCGAATACTACTCAGCCATTAAAAAAACATGAAACATTGCCATTTGCGACAACATAGATAGACCTTAAAAATATAGACCTAGGTGCAATAAGTCAGACAAAAAAGGACAAAAATTGTATGATTTCACTCGTGTGGAATATAAAAAAAGTAACAAATGAACTAACAAAACAAACAAAAACAAACTCATAAATACAGGCAACAGAATGGTGGTTACCAGAGGAGAAGGAGGGTCGGGGAGGAGGAGGGTAAAGGGGGTCAAATATATGGTAACAGAAAGAAACTAGACTTTAGGTGGTAAGCACAGTAGAGAGTATACAGATATCGAAATATAATGTTGTACACCTGAAATTTATACAATATTATTAACCAATATTACCTCAATAAATTTAATTTAAAAAGAAAAACATATACATATACATATAGCATACACATATACACAGAATATCTCCAGATGGGTTTACAAGAAACTGCCTTTGAAAAGAACAACTGGCAGCTAGAAGGCAAGAAAGGGAGGGTTACCTTTCACTATACCCTCTGTATCTTTTTAATTTTGTACCATTTTCAAAAAAAATAAATACAGTTTAAAAGATAACATGATCATCTGAGAATACGAAAGAGAAGATAACTCACTAGGCACAACTCCCACCCCCACCCCAACCCACTGGTCTCTAGACTGGTCCCACCCTTCAAAGCCCTCCCAGGAGGTTCTTTGCAAGTTCTCTGGGCCTCATCCTCTCTCTTCCTTTCAATCTCAAATTTCAAAATGGAAAATGGGACCTCAGGTCTCTCCTCCATGAAGCCTCCTCCCCCACCTCAATGTTGGAGCTTAGTTTGCCATACCCAGCCCCAACCCCTTCCTATCTCCTGACTTACCTGCTGGGCTGCCCAGGAAGCTGGTCCTCCCAGAGGCAGCAACTACTTTGAACAGCTCCTCATCTTGGCCTGAGGTGGAAGCTGCAAGGATAGGAGTGGAGAAGGTCTATGAGACAAGGACACTTGGAGAGGAGGGATGCCAAGAGGAGAGGGAGGGAGGAAAGAGGAGGGAAAGGAAGATGAAGGGAGGAAGGAGGAGAAAGGGGAGGAGGGATGGGGAAAAGGAAAGAGAGGAAAGAGAGAGATGAGGGAAAGGGTAGAGGAAGAGAAAGAAGAGGAAGGAAGGGTTCAGGGAGCCTAACAGAAGCCAGAGCCATCTACTGGGGGCGAGGAGGCAGACACAGTCCTGCCCAGAGGTAGAGGTGACACAGGTGGTAAAGGAGAGTTGGGACTCTTCATTCTCTGGCCCTTCCCCAGGACCAATGGCTGGAATGTGTAGGGGGCAGGCTGTGGCAGAAACTATTGGCCTGGCCAGGAAGTTGGACTGTCCCCAGGGAAGACACAGGGAAGGGGTAGATTTGGCTCCATGACTGAGGAAGTGCCCCCCACAACACAGAGCCTGTCAGAGAGAGGAGCGGGACCGTGGGGAGACCCAGGGAAACAGGACCCTTTCCATTAAGTCTGGGAGATGTAGGGTGGGGGTGAGGGCAGAGTGGAGGGCAACTGAGGCAGAAGCATGAGATCCCAGGGACCTGCTCCTGAACATGGGTGGGGGCCCGAAGAGGTGTTTCCAGACAGGATGAGAAAGAACCAGCCTACCCTGCGGGCAGGGCACCAGCAGGCTCAGATGGCTCAGGCTCTGTTTGGGGCAGTGCCGGAATGGGCAGGTCCTGGGGCAGAGCCACCTTTTTTGCCAGTAGGGCAGAGTCAACACCAAACTGCTGGGCTCTGCGTGACAGCTTTAGGAGGTTATTGTGAACGTTTTTAATTTACTAGTTAGGTATCTATTTCAAGTAGATGCCACAATTATTTCTCAGTATAGGGCTAAAATGTTTTAAAAGTATTTTAGAAATAAATTTTAAGTAATTAGTATTTTAGAAAGAGTTGGCAAAAAATGGCAGTGCTAAGCGAATGATGATTTTCAAAAAGAATACCACTTTGTACAGTATATAAATGTCTAACCACCGTGCTGTACACCTGAAACTAATATAAAAAATACTGAATGCCAACTCTAACTGAAAAATGAAAATTAAAAAAAATAGACAATATAAATAGTCCTTACTATATGCCAGGTACTTGAGCACTTTTTATTAATATACTTAATCCTCACAGCAACTTTATGAGGTACACACATCATACTTTAAGATGAAGAAACTGAGGCACAAAAAAAGTTGCCCAAAGTCATACAGTTAAAAAGGGACAGCATGAATATAGTAGAGACCCACTTTGTCTAATTTAGTAACCAGTAGTAGCCACATGAAGCTATTGAACACTCAAGATGTGGCCATAAAATGAAGTGTGCTATATAAAATACACGCTGTATTTTGAAGACTTAGTACACAAGAATATAAAATATCTCAATAACTTTTCTCTATTACATAATGGAATAATAATAGTTTGGATATTTGAACAAAATGTATTACTCAAATTAATTTCATGTTTCTTTTTAATGTTAAAATTTTTAATTGCACTTGTGGTGCATGCATTACATTTCTATTGGACAGTGCAGCCCTAGACTCTTAACCACTATGCTGACTGAGTCTCAAAAGTGATAATGAACACTAACTGAGCCCCTGCTATAGGACAGGCCCTGTTTTAAGAGTTTAACATGCATGGATTGATGATGACCCCAATTACCCTATGGGAATGACCAGGGCTGGAAAACAGGAACACACTTCTGTCCCTGCAGAAGGCCCAGCCCCATCCTGGGCCTCTCCTAAGTTCCTATTCCTGCACTAAAGGCTTCAGGCTAAGGTCAAATGTGGGGACTGCACACTCACAACCCTCTAGGACGGCCCCATTCAAGGCACTAAAAGCATGAGCCAGACCTCAGATCTGGACCTGCCTTCTAGGAAACTGACTGGAGGGAGTCAGACACCACCCAGCCAGCGAAAAGGGCCCACATGGCCCTTACCAGGGCAAGGGTCAAACAAGGCTTCCTGGAGGAGGCAGCTCCTTGAAAAAAGAAGTTTGGAGCAGTGCCCTGCTGAGCCATGCTAGAGCCCAAGGCAAAGAAAGAATCAGCAATACTAAACCTCTTAATTTAAAATGTGGATATTTTAACTTAGATTTTTTTAAATTAATATTGATTTTTAAAAAATATTATTTATCTTGATTGCTGAGTTTTTTGCGCCCTGCCCTCCTCCACAGTTATATTTTGGGCCTGAGGCAAGTGCCTCATTTGCACCACCCTGATCCTCACGCTTAGTGTGGAGGTTTAAGTCCTTCAGCTGCTATGACACATCACTGAGTCTCCAACCCCAGGGAAGCAGAGACTAGGCAGAGGGGAGTATCACCCTATTGCGACAGCATGGCCACAAGTTGAGGGGCTCTCGTTCTCCACCACCCCAAGGACCCAGCTTAGGCTTCAAGATCCCACCATCCTACCCTGCCCCTGCTTCTCCCCTGTCTCCTTCCAGTATCTCTCTGCTATGCCAAACCCAGTCCCACCCCTGCTCAATGCCCTTTCTTTGTTCCCATTGCCCTCAAGTCCAGCTGCTTGGCCTGTCATTAACCTGCTCCAGCCCTGACGTTTACAGATGAAGAAACAAACACCCACAGAGAGGAAGTGACTTGCCCAAGTTGCCAGTGACACAGCCCAAGCCCCAGTCAGGCTGGGCTGGCCCACGACTCCCTCACTTTTTCACACCAAGCACCAGCTTGGCACCTTGGAGCCCCTGAAATTGTCCACTGACAATGAGTAAATGAACCATAGCCTCTCACCTTCAGGTACTGATTCCAGGCTGCCTCCTCCAGAAAGTCCTCCCTGACTGCCCGCCCCCTCAGGCTCTTAGACCTCAGAGGCTGAGCTATGCAGCTCAGCATTGCTTCTGCTCTGTCTCTGGTTGTTCCATTTGTAGGGGGTCCATCTTCACTCAACCTCCAGCCTAGCCTGGAGTATCCTGTGAGTCTGTATCCCTTTTTGTCCTCCTTGCTCCCCACAGCAGAGCTCAGGACCTGACTGGGCTCATAAGGGCACTCAGTACACAGGTGAATAAGGGTCATCTGGACTCTCTAATCCTTCCCAGCCGGTCCTTTTTCAGGTTTAGCTTGAGTCTCTCTTGCTGGAGTCAAATCTTTCACCCTTCTCTCTTCTAACTAAAATATCAATACCTGAGAGCAGAGTTTAAAACTCATGGCCCCTTCTTTGTCTCAACCCAGCATCTCCCTCATGCCGTCCCTGCCTCCTACTGACTAGGGATACCATTCTGACAGTCCAGCAGGAAGGTGGCCCACAGCCTTCCTCAAGGACAGGAACACTACTGCTTCCTTCATTGTCTAAGAGCCTACCACAACGTGTCCATCCCCTGACAGATTTCTACCTTCATCTCAGTTGTCCTCATAACAATCCTAAGGCCAGGTATTTTTACCCCATTTCATGGAGGCTGTATGAGATAGAAAATTTCCCAGGTCACTTGCTAGAGCCAACAGGGCCTTCAGAGGGTGTGACCGCTTCTGTCTAGTAGAGTTAGCAAGGCTTCCAGAAGGCACTCCTGACTGGGCCTTGTTGCCCTTCCAGGCAAAAGGAACTGAGTGTGCAAGGCCCAGGAATGGGATCAGAACTTGCAGATGTAGTGATGGGATAATTTGGTGGGGCAGGAACAGGAAATGTGAAAGAACAGTAGTGATACCAGAGAGGTTTGGGGATCCTTCCTCAGGTCTCCACAGAGCCTGCTGACCATGTGGGTATAAGCATCCAGTGCATTCTGATTTGCATAAGTGAGTCAGGCCTGGGGCAGGGCAGCCTCAAAGGTCCTAATTCCTTCTATACTCAGCGCTGGAGGCCCCTCAGCCAAGATCCTTCCCAATTGCATCCTTAGACCCCCTCTACATAGGGCTGTGCTTTGGGTTTAAGGGAAGGCCTAGTGGCTTGGGGAGCGGAAGGTCCAGGGGTCTGAGATTGTCTACACCCTCCTCCTCTTCCCCTGTATAGCTCCCCACTCCAGGCAGGCTGGGCAGGGACCCCAGTGTCCAGATCTCAGGAAAATCCTCAGAGCTCCCCACACAGGAACCAAGAGCCCCACACCTCCAGCTTTGGCCAGACCTGGTCTACAAACCCTACCCCACCCATACCACAAACGCACACCACCTCCAGGGACACACACTTTCCACCCAACCCAGCAGCCACATAGCCGATCTGCCCTACCACATACACACCCGTCAGTCTCCATATCCCCTACCAAAAACTGAACTGTGTACAACTGCCCCACAGCCCCACGATGGCCAATACCTCCCTAACCCCCATCCCATCCCCACTTCCCAGGTCACCAAAGGATACCTGTGAGCAGGGCCACCCTCGGTCTTCAGGGTGTTCAGGACTCTGCTAATGCAGGCAAGAGGCTTGGAGACACTTCCTTTAGATATGAGGAACTAGGTGGGGGCTGGGTTCCCGGTCCAGAGGGTGCAGAAGTGGCCCTCACTCCTCTGCAGAAGCCAGCTCCCTCCAGCTCTCTCAGGCAAGGCAGCAGATTAGGCCCTTGGGTGGCAACTGACTCACCCTGGACCAAGAAACCTATTTTCTGTCTCTCGAGGACTAGTGACCACTGCATACTGGTCCCAAGGAGGCACATTAGGGTCTCCTGATCTACCCCATCCCTGAATCTCTACCCTGTCATGCACCCTAGTACCAAATTTCTGCTCCATCCCATCTGTGGTACGGCCTGTCCTCTGGCGTTCCAGGAGTGGTGGGAGCTCTCAAGGAGCAGCGCTCCGGCCAGTGAGGACTGAGTCAGGGCCCCAGAGCCAAGGTACATAAAGAATCACCTGGTGGGGAGCTGGGGGCCACTGGCAAGTCCCCAAGCTCCAGGCCAGAGCCCCCTCCCCACAGGACAGAAGGCAAGTCTGGGTTCCAGTACTGGCTCCATCACTTCTTGCCTGAAATCCTGGGCAAGTCATATCACAATCTGAGCCTCAGTTTCCCC